ATATATATATACACATATACATATACCATTGTATTCAACAATAAAATTGAAGTAAGGAAGTGCAGAACTTGTGTCTGTCTCCTGCTTCCCGGCCGTCACATTTTAGGGGACAGAATTTTTTGGTGGCAACAAGAAATAAAGGGATACAAGTTTTTTAGTTTGAATTGCTAAAACACATTTTTTGAAACCATCACTCATTTTCTCAAAACCTTAAACACAAATCCAGATCTTCAAACTAAATTCACAGAACCCCTGACTCTTCTGGCAAAATCAAACAATCGCTATAAAACATTTCACCTGTAGTCAAAATCAAACAAGGCTTTCAAATCATACACATATTAGTCAATATTATATATTCACTACAGATCATTCGTTAGACACTACAACAACAAAAAAAATGCAGAACACAGAGTGCAGTGCATGTAGTTACAAACATTTTTTTTATTGTATATAGTAAATATTTTGAAATAAAACACAAACAAAAGAAATCTCACTTAAGTTGGATGAATATGTCAAAAATGCATATTTATGTATGTGTGTGTATATATGCAGGAGACGAAGTGATGATAAAAAAGGAGCAGTTTGTTGAATAGTCTTAGTTGCGTATGTGTCAATGCTCAGACTTCGTCTGATGAATACAAATTCAACAAGTAGTGTTACACCAAACTGATTCACAACAACATCCCATAAACCTTGAGTTTCCATAAACATTCCCTTGTATCTCTTATTCATAAAGACAGACAGCCCTTGAAACCACACAGTCATAAGACTAAACAACAATGGAAAAATAATAGAAAATATAAATGACTAATCAATGAATAAATCAATGAAATGAGTATATAAATGGCTACAATGATTAAATGGAATACTAAAATAATTAAATGATAAATTATTTTAAATGAATGAATGAAGAATAAATTAATATAAAAAAGTAAAACACAACACAAACGTATGGTTGCTCTCTTGAAGCAAAACACAGTTTGCATTTGAGGATCCTCCGATTATTCACCTATGACAGTACATCAGGCATGTTAATTCACAAGGATTCAAAACACACCATCATTTTTCATAGGTAAGAAAGCAATTAGCACTTTTTTTTTGAGACATCGACATCTCTTACATTTAAGCAAGCTAAACATAAACCCTTCTTCTTAACACTTATTACAATTATCTCGTACCACGGATAACATTTGCTCTTATCCTTCTAATCATTATCGTGTCACCCTATAGGTAATTAAGCTTCACTGCCACTATAGCTGGAATCAGTTTCAGTGTAATATTTCACAGGCTTTGGAGAATGCGGTGGTTTTGGATATAAGTAAGGAAAATCATGATGAACCTTTTGGTGTTGGAAGGTAGATGACACAGCATTTCTAATCAATGTCATTATACATGGCCATAAACACAAGATCAACAAGATCGAACAAACTATGCAAATTACCATCATCATCAGATTTGTCACATCAGTAAATATACCTTTGAACCATCCCCATCCAAAAGACCCCGAATTAGTTTCCCAGCCTGTCAGAGTCTTTGCCCTGTAGGTCAAATTCACTATCCCTTCGTCAATGACATGTCCATCTGCATCATTTTCTGGAATGTATGTGCAGCACGTTTCTCCCACTATCACACAAACTCTGCCTTGTGCTGCCGTCAGCTGGTCTAAAACTAAAAGATTTTGCAAAGCAGCGAGCCTCAGTCCTCTCAGCTCCTCGATGCCTTCCATCATCTTTGTCGTGTTAATGAAAGAAATCAGTTCATACCTGGTAACCTGTACCTCTTGCATTAATGATGCAACACCTATTCCAGGTGCAAAAACCGCCAGCAATTTCTCAGCTATGTTCCAGATGTGATGTTTTTTTGGCACTGGGCTGTCTTGCGCAATGTTAAGCAGTCCCGTTTCCTTTCTTCTCATAATTTCACGTGGTTGGTGGCGTAGAACAATTGTTCCACCATGCAGTTGAATTAGAGCACACGTTCCGGTCCAGTTTCTAGCCAGAGACACATATATTGCATACCCACACTGCCAGTAGGTGTTTTCTACTACTCCTGTGCCCTCTTCATCAGGTACATGCACAACTGCACAAGCAGCCTCACATGTAGCACGTGTGCAATGATTGTGAAACAAATATTGTTCAGCTATTGTAGATTGTCTCAGATCCCCAGGAACGGAGATGGCATTGTTTAAGCATCTGAGACAACGCTGTCGTGTGGCAAGATTAGTTTCATTCTCTTCGTAGATCACGTTGCATTTACTCTTTGGTATTTTCCCTAAAGGATTAGTTCCTGTAACTCTACTATAACATGTCAGATTAGTTGGTATGCCCCTAACTGTTGCTACCTGGCCAAACAGTCTTTTGGTTACTTTGATCTTTCTCCATTCCTCGTCTTGTAGCAGAGTGGAGCTGTCATTAAAAGGAGCTGCTGCCACAGCCACCACAGCCATGATGGTTGATGTGTTGTGATCTTGATGCGGCCACCAGTCCACTCCAGTGGTGCTGTGTGGGAACTGTGCGCACACGTAACAGTTCTCTAACCCATTTTTCTTTACTGTATGGTTGGTTAGTCTCCACCACATGTTCATAGTGTATGGATGAGGAGGGCTGGGATGGTCCATCCAGGACTCAGATAAGCTGGCTATATAATCGTTTGCTGTTTCTCGTACTCGTCTCGGTCCCAAAGTATGGATGACTGACGCAGTACCATTCATCACAGGCTCAGGATCACTGCCTTTTCTTGGAATCAGTGGTAAAACAATCCATAATGACAGAACAATCAGTACGCATGACGTAGCTCTCAGTCCACCGATAACAGGATGTCGCATAGGATGCCACACTGCAAAAAAAATGAATCATGGGTCTTGTAATTTTCATTTAAAAAAAATGAAGGTGATAATTAAAAAATGTGTATATTTTATTAAGAAATAGTGGTTCAGTGTTGTACTGAAATATTGAGAACTTTTCACAAATAAAATCAAGAGATATGTTTATCTAATTTTTGAGGCTTGAATTGAGGAACTGATTAAACTGAAAAATAAATTAAGGAAAGAAGGCTATTTATTTTAAGAGAATTGGCTCAATTTTGTAGTTTTATTTTAGCGGCGATTGTTAGTTCGCAACATGCTTATATGGCTGGATATGGACAGTAAATATTGAAATTAAGTGCTACTTTTTGCGTTTTCGAGTAAAGGGAAACATCTATTATTGTTTAGTGTTCAGTTATGTTTGTTGTTTTGTTATGTTATGTTTTCTGTAATGTTGAAGTTTCTATCGTTACCATTATGCAGAAGAGTACAGCTTATGTTTATGGATAACTGCATACTACCACTATGAGGCATGATGCTTTGTTCAATCAGCAGTAGCTTTGCTAATGCTAGTGCAGTAAATGCTTTGCCAATGCTAGTCTTGCTGTAGTCTTTTAATTGTACAAAATAACTCGAAGTCAAATACAAACAGACCTTACTCATCACAGACTTTTGAGAATCAACTTAAAATAAATGAGCACATTCCACTAATAATAAATTCATTGTGTCATAGATTAAATAATTTAGGAGATTTTACATTATTTATTCAGGTAGATTCCATAAAAAAAATCAAGCCTTAAAAACTACTCAAAAATATTACGTGTAATATTGTTACCATCATTTTTTTTCAGTAGATAGCTCTTACCATTTTTTTACAGTGCATGATCGTCTCTGTTGCTCCATTTTGCTCTCTTTGGCATTAACTGATCTGGTCATTCAAATCGTCCAGCCCATGTCGCTGCGCATTCAGCTCCCATACACTGACTGTGCCCGTCTTTCCCAGAAGAAATTTATACGTCCCCCCTCTCGTCAAACAAAGTATGCATAACAATGGAAAGTTACCACAGGCCTCAGATAAGAGCCATGTGAACCTTGATATTCACATTGAAAACAGGAGGATTGAAGGATCCAAGGATCTTAATCTCTTAAAAGAAACCTATGAGTTAGAAAATTTGCTCTGCTTGCTGTGGAGTTAACAATTTTTTTAGGATAAAAAAAATTAATAAGAGGCAAAAGTACAGTACAGAATATCACAATTTGTTATTGGGCAGTTAAAACACATACATTTTTACCAGTATATGGACTATTTTTAAAAACAGCTTAATGTTCATACATTTTTAATATTTAAGGTTACAGATTACATAGTTGTAGTATGCTCTGTAGGGTCAAATAAAGATTTTACAACTTGCACTGTAGCAAAAGCTCTCGAGGAGTTTGTAGGCCATCCTGTTTACATATGCGATACACCAGTATTAATGCTAACAGATAAAACTAAATTACATATTTTCTAAGCAGTTATTCAGATTGGTTAAAGGGTTAGTTTACCCAAAAATCTAAATTACCCCATGATTTACTTACCCTCAAGCCAACCTAGATGTATATGGCTTTCTTCTTTCAGACGAATACAATCGGAGTTATATTTTAAAAAACCTCCTGGCTCTTCCAAGCTTTATAATGGGAGTGGATGGTAGCCCAAAATTTGAAGTCCAAAAAATTGAACCAATCCATTCCAGGAGTCCACACGGCTCCGGGGGGTTAATAAAGGCCTTCTGAAGCGACGCGATGCGTTTGTGTAAGAAAAATATCCATATTTACAACTTTATAAACCTTAATCTCTAACTTCCGCTGTCGTACGAAGAAGAATGTCATATACACCTAGGATGGCTTGAAGGTGAGTAAATCATGGGGTAATTTTCCTTTTTGGGTGAACTATCCCTTTAAGGTGAAGATAGACTTTTAAAATATCCACACAAGGACATAGGCCTACAGTTCACAACATATCTCAACAGATTATCAATGTGACAGTAGCAATTCCACTTTGAGCACAAAATGGCCCAAACATTTCACAGGTCAACATCTCTACGTGACTTGTCTTCTTAATATGGTCAGTACAACCATGCCCGTATAACCAGCTAGGTCACCGGACCTAGGTCAATTCTGCAGGTGTAATTCAGTTTATACAGTTTGCAAGTATGTTTAGAGTCCGTGAAATTAAAACAATCGCTTCGAAACGCTGGGGAGTGAACGAGGCTTGAGAGAGCTGTGAGTGAAGGCGTGGACGCGCAGCCTTCATCCGTGAGAGATCTGTTATAATAGCATAATTCTTAACCTCACCCCAAACCCTGGCTACAGCCATGAGTACATCTTTCAGAGGTGCCAGGTGTTAACCTAACAGGAGCCATCCTCTCCTCCCCCAAAGCCTCTCACACACACACAAAAGGTTGAAGCGTCTACGTCAACTCAGAGAACATTTTCAAAACACAGTGATAACACATACTTTCTCACAGTCAGGCGAATTTTCACAGGACAATGTTGTGAAACAGTAAGGTGCTGGTCAGATGAAATAATGACCACAGACAATCCAAGATTTCATTTCTCTGATGGACAATCTAGTAAGACCAGATCGGCACAGTCAGACTTGGATCTCTCACACTGTATAATGGGGAGATATAAAAAAGGCAAAAAACTTGTAAGATCAGATCAATGGAAAAAGGAAGGAGGGATCAATTCTCTAATAAACAAGCTGCAGAAAGCTGATGTTTTGAATAGAAACACTGAATATTCCTCAGAGGTATGGTCCCAGCTTGCCATAGATTTATTTAATGATGACACACCAAAAAAACGTCACTGGTTATGGCAGATCTGGACGAGAAAATGCAAAGACCTAAGAGAAAGAGTACATCTGGCCGCAGAAGAAGGTGTGGGATGGGGATCCCATCAAAATGGTACAGAAGAAATGGAGCCAGGAGATCAAGGTAAAAGAATTAAATCACAATACTAAAAGAAATAAAAAGTTTTTACAGTGGGCTTAGTAGTTATCTCTCACCTGTAGTATATCAGTCTTGTATCTTGTAATGTACTACAACCTTTGGAACATGAAAAAAAAACTTTTTGGTGAATTGCAGTAATTTTTTCATCAAAATATTTGTGTCCTGTACGGACAGTAAGGGAGAAATTGGAAGTATCATCTAAGGCGAGATATTGGCCAAATATATTCCGTCAGTTTGCCCACTAGCCATTTACTATAGCCCTGTAAACATTCATATGAATTAATTCTTGGTATTTGCTTGAAGATGACAACACAATACTCACCCTAAAGTTGTGGCTGTAACTTAAAACACTTGAAAATGTCCTTCTCTGTTTTGGTGTGACAGCTGACAGACTCGCAACACGATGAACAGCATTTACAGTAATCTGGGGAAGTTCTTGTAAGCTGAAAAGTCTTCTTCTCTGTTATTTTGAAAGCTCTTCGTTAGGAACAATGGCTTCCGGCGCAGCAGCGGATGTAAATAAGCATCCAGAGGAAAAAACGTGGAAGTGCGTAGAGCCCATTGGGTTCATTGCCATGTGTTTATGAGCTTCTGTAGTAACGTTAGGCCTACTCGATATGTTACGTGTCTGACCAAACTGAGGAGAACAGTTAATGTAGATAAAAAAAACAGACAGCTAAGCAATTTAGAGAAAAAATAAGAGACGACCATCATTATTCTACACGAAACCCCATGCTAGTTGAGTAAAACTTATAAATAAATGGTAAAAAGAGATACGAGCGTGAGAAGGGAAAAAAAAACATTATTGGCACTGCGCATCTATTCCCATTTCGAACAGTTCGTTTCAAAGAACCAAAGAATCAGTGACTCAGTTATTCTTTACAGACGCGTCATCACGCGAAATATGTTCTCTACATACAATGTTCAGAATGAATAAATTAATTAATAAAAATGTGTTATTGTATAAACTAAATTTTGTTTGCATTTAAAGTACAATACTATTTTTTACAAAGACGTTTGAATTTAACTTATACAAATAACAACAAATAAAACTGTCATACAATCATCTTGGGTAAATTCTATTATTCGGCTTGATCATTTGTCGCTCCATCAGTGAAATCCTCGATTACTCCGAATCAATGTTCCCCACTATCTGCTCACTCCGATTCTCAGTTAATTACGAATGGATGTCGGTTCTTAGTTCAGTGAGTCAGTGAGCTGATGATTCGAGAACCGCTCTGACCGATACGTTATTATTAGTCCCATAGACATAATAAATAATAGTATTAGTCCCATTCGAGAACGAATCGTCTAGACCAGTTTTGTGAACCGGTTCAACTAATTCACTGAAAAGATTCGACTCAAAAGAACCATTCATTCACAAAGCGGGCATTGCTACCCACTGCCTTTCGTGGCGGGACTTATATTATTTAAAGAAACAGGAAATCCCCTGTAGGGACAATACATACTAAGCTGATCAGTAGTTAGGACGCGTTCGGTACTCTGTTTAAGTTGGAAAGCAGTGCAGGTGGGTTGTTTTTGAAAATGTCTTTCGTTTTGTTGGGAGGACGCAAAGCAAACGGCGTCAGACATTAGAATTCGCGGGCTCCGTTTGGAATTTGTTACGCGCGTTGTATGGCAAGCGCCAGAGTCAGTGGGTTTTCAAAACGCGTTATGCATGCTTGTGTGGTGATAGAAAACGTACTGATTTAGTAAGCAATATGGATTGTACCTTGCTTAAACTTTTCATTGTTTAAATTGTTAGTGGCGTCTGGTTCATCATCGTCGAATGTAGTTTGCGTTTCAGAAGAAAGACCATTTATCATTGCTTGTAACCAGAGAGCTTGTTGTTGCAGTAAACTGTTAAAGCACGTCACTTCCGGGTTGTTTGATTCATTAAGTGTAGATGTGTTTATGTATAAAAAGCACAGGATTGTCTTCGATGACATGCTTTGTTTTCTGTATTAGTAAAGATCAATACAATGGCTACGATTGAATCTAGGTTTCTGTTTAATCTGAAACGAAGTACAAATGTTTACATTGAGCGTGGTAAAAGAACTAATGATTTAATTCCATCTCAGATTTGGTTGGTTTTCATCATGAAATGTAATTGCTGATCATTCGAAATGAAATGAGCGTTGTATCTTTATTGCTCAGGTATGAAAAGGTCCAGATATGAAGACGACTCTGGAACATTACACATGGTTCAAGACAGTGGGCAGAAGGCGAACAAGCTCCCTCGATCTGAGGCAAGTTTGTCATTTACGTCCCTTGTATGTTTTTCTCCAACAATATTAATTAAATGTCAACGGATTTATAAGTCTTTGTCTTCTTGTTTTTAAAATGGAAGGACTGTCTTTTTAATTTTACGCCAGGATTGGCAAAATTCAGAACTCATTGTCTTTCAGTTCATGAGCTGTTAATGTAAATGTGTATTTACTCTCTGAAATACGGAGTGTTTCTCCTCAAATGAATGGGCATTCTTTTGATTTAAGTTCAGTTCTGTCAAAACAATCAGCAACCAAAAAGATTTCAAATTCAATACAGCGTCACAAAATGTGCACCACCCTTTTTCAGGTAGCTAATATAAAATAAACAGACATCTAGGGTAAAAAGCATTCTGGAAAATGTCACGTCTTGTGCATATTCTTCTACCGTAGTCCATATAATTAAAGCTAATTTATTTACAGTATGTCGTTTGATATAAGTGTGGTCAGATCTTTTACTGACTGTACTCTGTTCTAATTATTACATAGCAACTTTTGAAATTGTGTTATTGTACTTTTTTTTGAGTTGAAATTATTGTTCTGTCTTTCTATAAGACAGTCCACACAAAAAATAAAATTCTGTCATCATTTACTCACCCACAAGCTGTTCCATACCTGTATGAGTTTAGTTTTTCTTTGTAACATAAAAGAATAAAAGAAAAGAAAAAAAAACATATTTTGAAGAATGTTAGTAACCATGGAAGTCATTGGGGACCATGAACTGTAACAGTGTAGAAAGTGATTGGCACTTGCAGCCAAGCAAACCATGCAAAAAAAATTAAGACTATTAATTTACATGTTCTTAATCTGCAATGTGTTGAATTTAAATTCAATATTGAATAGTGCACAAACCAGCTGTACACTTGTGTGTGTTTATTTCCAGAACTGCGTATGATCTCACCCCATTCGTAACCTGTTTATTGGTAGGTTGTAAAGATTATTTCAGATAAGGTTGTGACTGCAGTCGAGCAGTCTGACTACAAGATGAAGAATCTGATGGAGAGAATCGGTGAGGTGAATGGTGAACCCAGATACGATGCCAGAATCAAGAAACTGGAAGTAAGTGACCAGCTTTCCCAAGTTCATTTGTATTTTTAGTCCTCCCATGATTTTCATTTTGAAATATATGTGTATTAATTAATATACTAATCCATATTACTGTAGTGCCCTGCAAGGTCAGTATGTCATAACCACCATACATAATTTCTGTTACATCATTTTTTTGTTTGTTTGTTTGCAGGCTCATGTAAGGAAGATAAAACGAAGGGGAGATGCCATATTTGCATATATCAGAAAGTTCAGATCCTTAGGGATTTCTCAGGTATGAACTAGATTATGAGATTTATTTGTAGAACCAAGGTTTGATAATAATAATACTAAGACATTTATGAAGCTGGCTTTTATTATTGTAATTATGTATAACTCATCACTGTTGTGTTTTTTTAATCTTTTCGACAGTCTCCTCCTCCTTTAAGTCCTCCTCCTGTGCAGCCACAGCGATGCATCTCTCCAGCTGAACTAATAAACAATATATCCAGGTATTCTAGATGTATAACAAACTTCATTCATAATATATCAGTGGCACCAATTACGTAAAATATGGCCTTTGAAGGGGCTTTCAGTGTTATTTTGGTGTGGATCTGTACATCATGGTGCAGACTGATGCCTTTCAACTTGAAAATGATGCAGAAGCAGCGAGCCTGATGTTTGAATGACAATCACTACAATATTCCATTTACTGTTTAATCAGAAGATATTCTAATAGAATGATCAAAGTGAAATCGTCTCAATGGTCCCAGTCTTGGCACCTTTCCATTTCTTTTCTTTCCCTGAGGTGCTGTATGCCGAGTGGCATTTCTTCACTTTCATGTGTGGCTGTTGCAGTCTTATAAACTAGTGTGGTTCGCATGGAGAGGCGTTCATTGCTGCTTAATATTTGTGTTCCAAGGCCAACAAAGCATACTCATTCAAACCACTGATTACAGCTATTTGTTATCCTAGCCATCTGTTTAATTGTTGAATTACCACAATCACGATTCACTGTAAGAACTCAAGTGTGATGGACAGAAACTGGAGGTGCTTGGCTTTTCTGTCCCCAAATTTATCTGAGATGTGAAAAATTCTTAATACAAGAGCATCGCTTTATAGTGATTTAAATGTAGTAGTAATAATAATAATAAAAAAGAGATATTAACATTTTTAATAATAAAATCAGCCCAAACATTGCTCTGTTTGATTGATCTGCTAGAGATGCAGCAATATTAAAGGGAGTCCTATTATGTTTTTGGGGTTTTTTTTTACATTTTCAACTTCTTTTAGTGTGTAATGTTGTTGTTTGTGCATGAAAAAGATCTGCAAAGTCCACTCCAATTCTCTATATCAGTAAGCACTGAACTCCAAAAGATAAGGGGGAGCGATAAGAGGGATGCCTCGTTGATTTGCGTTAGTAGTGTGTTATCACCATGTCCAAGAGACACTGTTTCACAGATCTAATATACTGATACACATGCCGCTGTTTATGTTCACAGACATAACCGTCCGAGTGTTTATGTGAACTTCGTGTGTTTTTGACATAACCTTGAGTGCATTTGACAGTTGATGTGAAGTTGACATTCTGGGGACACCTGAGATTTATATTACATCTTGTAAAAAGGGGCATAATAGGACCCCTTAAAATTATGACTTATATCATTAAGCCAATATTGAAATTTAAACTTTATGGGGGAAAAAACACTTACAATTAAAATGAGTTGTTTTAAATGTTATACAAGTGACTTTAGGCATCATAACATTATAATCGACAGTATGAAAAATGGATGTAATATTTTTTGATTTGCTAAAGAAAATGTTCTTTTATCGGTGCTATTAGTGTTTTTAATTTTAAGTGAGCATTGGGCAGTCAAGTTGTAAAAATTGGGGATATGTGAATGGACAATTAAATATCCAGAAATGTATATTATTGCATTATTATTAAAATTATTTTATTGAAATGTCTTGTTGGAGTGCAGAATTCTGATTTCAGGACTTTTTTTTTTTTTTTTTAACAGAAATTCAGTCAATGGAGGGTGTTTCAGTAACAACGCTTCAGTATCCTCCGCAGGTCTTGTTGCTATTATCATTGTTTATTCTGACCTCAAAAATGTCAAACATTTATATTGTGACATTAAAATTATTGTTTTTGCACTAATAGACAATGATTGTGAGATGACCACATTGAGAAGACCAAAAAAAGGGTTCTGGCAGAGTTTGGTAACCGTTTCTTTCAATGTCTTATTAATAATTACTTGGCGTTTGTTTATTCTTGGAGGATTTGTATTTTTATAGTATTGTAATATGTGGCTCATGTGATTCATGATGACATGTTTAGACTGCTGGCGACTATAGATTACCATTGTTCATCTTTTTTCATTTCAGCAGTCTAAGAATCAGGTTGTTGACCTTACAGAAGAAGACAGAGGTATTTGATCTTGAATAAAAATCAAATGATGATATAAATAATGCTCTGTTGTATTGACTGTTTAGTGGGCATGGTGTGTTTTTGTTCTGGTTCAGCAGCCAGACTGAATGAAGAGGGCCTGGTTACCCAACCATCGGATCAGGTACACCATCATTCTCTCACTCAGGGTTTCTCTCATTCTAGCTGTGCATTTTCAGACTGTTTCATAGTAGTTCGGTTTCCACATTTGTGCCTTGCAGAAATTGGAACTTTCGAAACCAGAACAATTAAAACCCTCAAGCACACCACCTATAGCCATTAAAGGTATGATGGCATTGAATTTGTCATGTTTGTTTTTGTTAGTTTCTTTTTTTTTCTAAAATTATGGTTAATGCAAGACATAAACAATTCTTTAAGCCTTGTTTTACTGTCATTTTCTTTAATGAACAGAAAAAAATCAAAGTGTTATGGAGGAGGACAGTGTCAGTTCTTCAGTACAGTTGGAAGAGGTATGCTAATGTTTTCTATATGCTACTACATCAGTAAGTTTATATCATAACATCCATAACATTTCAGTTTCTACCTTTCCTTCAAAGGTGGACTGGCACTCCAAACTCCATCCATTCCCAGACACTCCATTTCCCAAAGAGCTTCCAGTTATTGCTGCCTCTTATAACTTGCCCCAGAAGCCAATGGTGAAACTAGCTCGGATTGGAAGCGCACAAGAATTAGGCATCGCGTGGAACGTTGATCGGAAAGATCCACATGTAGCAGAGATGGAATGCTACTACATTTACGTTTCCCATGAACACAAAAACGGCACTTTTTCAGGATGGAAATGCCTTGGAGAGATCAAAGCCATGCCTCTTCCTATGGCCTGCAAGGTGTCGGACTGCAAAGGAGATAAACGACTGTGCTTTATCGTTGTGGGGAAGGATATATTTGGCCGTTATGGGCCGTACAGTGACATACGCTCTGTTGCACCAGGACAAATGTGATTCTGGCAACATTTCTCCAGTGTGTAGAAACTTTTGTTCATATAAGGTTTGAAGGGGTATGAATGTTACTCTTTATACTGCAATTTGGAGTATTTAATTTAAGATTTCAATTTCTTAAAACATGTTGAGTTGGGTACAAATAAAGTTAAAGCTGCTGTTTTTCCTGTTTGTTTTTTTTTTCCCTCTGACGAAAATATGATTTTATTTTTTTTTTAAGTATCAGAGAGCCCTGAAAGTCATTCTTCTTATATGAATCTCACTAACACAATAGTATTAAGAAAGAAGCTGCTGTATTGTATTGTTTTTATTAGTTATCAAGTTACAAACCGATTTCATTTGCCTCTGGTCTTCATAATATGAGTTTTTCGGTGGTATGATTCAACAAAGCAATCACTAGCCATAATAGACGGCAGTGAAATCTGAATGTTAACGTCTAATGTAAGTGGCAGTAAACCATTTCTGAGACAGCATTTGTTTCCTGTAATGACTACATTTGAGGATCCTACTTCATGCTGCTGCCGAAATTAATATAACACTATACCAGTCGTTCTCAAAAATGCTGACTTCTGACTTACAAATGTTAAAGTTATGAATTCTGTTTAGTTCCATTTTCTGCCATAAATAGGCTGATCAGATTTCTCAAGGTTCAATACGGGACGGGACGGGGGGGGAGTTTGGTGCGGGGGACATATGAGCACGATATGAGAAATTTTATTCTAAATTACATATATATATATATATATATATAAGAAGTCAAACAATTGCTTTTATGACATAAAATGTTATGTACATATTATGCAATAATAGTTTGGCTATAGTATTTTGCTTTTTTTTTTTTTTGCTTTTTCATGACTGAAATGTCTTGGGTCATATTTGCTGCCATTTCTTGAGACCTAGCATATACATCACAACAGAAAGAGTCTCCATCTGTTTGTTAATGTAAAATACATTTATTTGATAAAAAAAAGAACAATATTGAGCCCTTGGTGGGGATCAGTCTCCAGAAACAGACCTGACCTGAACAACTCGTCAGACATGTAAAAACAAAGCTGCCATTGTGGTTTCATTCCAATTACAAAAGCCTTCACTAATATTCATTAAAACCTTCTGAAAATTAAGCATTAAACAAACATGTTCAGGCCTGTTGATAAAATACTTCATTACAAAATATATTAACAGCAACAATGCAGTTAGTCTTAATAAATACAGCTTAACTTCACATTCGCCTAAATAATATTAGCTAATTGCTTTTTTTATTCCATAGCAGATTTGAGGACGAAATGATTACATGTTAGACATGAAAACTGAAACCATTGGTGTGCTTCACCAACACCACCATCTTAAAGTCATTCGCATGAATATAAAATAAATCCCAAGTGCCCTAATCAAACACAATGCCTAAAGAACTACAGACCTGTACTTATGTTAATAGTGATTTCAAATTAAATGCTGCAAACAAATAAAAAAAAACACGCAATGTAATTAGTCAACACTAAAAGACTAGTTTACAAAAAAAAAAAAACTATACACGAGAACACATCATGCCACTAATATTGATAATTTATTCAGCTTCAAGTATGATTTAGTGCTCAGCGAACTGGCAGCACAATATTTTCAGATTTTGTGTTTAATGACTTCTTCCCCAGGCACATATAATGACCAGGAAACATCACACTAGCATGTTATTTGCTACACACTAAGTGTTACATATAAGGCCAATTTCACTTCATGCATTGTGTATGAATACATGTCGAGCCCATAGTGGTTCCATGTTATAAATATGTCGTATTATATCTCCCACTCCTGTCTTTTTTTCCACGCCCTATTTTACCTCTCTATATCACAGCGCTTTTTTACTGGGCAGGTAGAACTAAATTATGCACAACAAGGTTAAAAAATGACATACTATGCATAAAATCTAATTAAGTTTCCAGTATGCAGTGATTAATAAGATGATCTACTTCGTTCTAACTTGGGCAAGTATTTAATCTACATATAAAAACAAGTATCAATATAGCTGCAAGCAGCAATTACCGGGGTTCAAGCACTTTGAGGCATTTAAGGTGGTATATTTTAGGGTCTAGACCAACCTGGATGTATTGCTGACAGTAAAACACATCCAAAATGGAGAATATGCTCACAGACACACACAAACACACACACATACTGAAATTAAATGATTAAACTAGTTTATTAATACTCAGTAAGCATACTTAAACACACAGACACAGAGACACACACACATACACAGGCATACATGCACACACATTTTGTTGAAGATATAGATATTTGAAATAAATGATAGGTGACACAACACTTATTGCAAGTCTTCTCTTTTTAAGAGTTTATATGTCATTTTCAGGTTTCACTGTAATCATAATCTGGCATAATTGTAAAAACTAATATGTCTGTATGAACAAAATGGTTAACTATGAGTAAATGTGATTTTAAATGTTATAACAGTGATTTTATACTGTCTAAGCATGAATTCATCAAACCTTTGAACAGTACTGTTTAAGTGCATTTTAATGCCAATGTGTTTAATTCCATTAGTGGTCTTCCACTGCCATCTAGTGGTTATAAATGCAATTTCTCATACAACACTGTGTTTAACCTTTATAACTATTATAATGTTATTTTTTTGCACAATCTCTCTTAAATTTTGCATGCTTGTTTACAATGAAATTATGCATAATTTTACACAGTTTTGAAAGACATTGTGGGCTTTCTTTTAAGATTTTAGGCCTTTGGGTACACAATGTAAAGAGCATATTAAAAAATGACCGGTTTATAGTTTTCCAAATGCAAATGTTCAACATTTATTTGATAATTATTGACCTAGAGAGTCTAGAGAATAGTACTGCACTGATTTTATTGATTTTGAGTTAAAAACCGAGGACAAGTTCAGAAAAGTAGGTTTTTAAAATAATCTCAAATATTTAATGAACAGTTTGATTGACAGCATTGGTCCCAGAGGTAAAGTTCTTCAGAATGAGGAGATCTATCATATGATATGAAGATCTAGTGTTCGTGTACATATATGAGATTTATTTTTTTTTGATAATTATGGATCTAGAGGGTCCAGAGAATTGTACTGCAGTGGTTTTGAGATTGAGCGAAAAACCTAGGACTAGTTCGCAAAAGTAGGTTTTTTAAATAATCTTGAATATTTAATGACCAGTTTGATTGACGGTATTAGTCCTAGAGGCAAAGTTGTTCAAAATGAGGAGATCTATCATATGATATGACGATCTAGTGTTTTTATTAATATATGTACATGTTCTGTAATTTGAGGTCATTTTCTATACAAATATTGTATTTTTGAGGCCTTTTCAACTGTTATAGCGCCACCTACGGTCAGTGGTGGACAGTAACGGAGTAGTTTTACTTCGTTACTGTGCTTAAGTAAATTTTTCAAGTATCTGTACTTTACTGGAGTAGTTTTAGACGTTTCTTTGCACGCTGTTGCGCACGACAATCGAAATTTCTACTTTTTTTTGATAATTATTGATATTCAGTGTCCAGAGAATATTTCTGCAGTGGTTTGGTTCCGATCGGGCAAAAAACCTAGGACTAGTTCGCAAAAGTAGGTTTCGGACATAACTCAATTTTCTGGACAAACCGTGCGTCGTAGAGAAAATTTAGGTGTAAGGAAATTTTTTGTTCGGGCTGACGCAAGGATCGCAACGATGTCAAATTTTTGAGTCTACGACAAATGGTTAGTTTTTTGCGCTGTAGCGCCCCCATTTGGCCGATTGGGCCGGCTCTTTGCGCCTGGGTAGCGAGCATGACTACTACCTTTTGACCAAGTTTCAACTCTCTAGGCCTTACGGTTTGGGCTGCACGATCAGTTTTAGGGAAGAATAATAATAATAAAAATAATAATAATAATAAAAATTCTAACAATTACAATAGGGTTTCAGCACTTCGTGCTCGAACCCATAATAATAATAATAATAATAATAATAAAAATCCTAACAATTACAATAGGGTTTCAGCACTGCGTGATCGAACCCCTAATAATAATAAAAATCCTAACAATTACAATAGTGTTTCAGCACTGCGTGCTCGAACCCCTAATAATAATAATAATAAAAATCCTAACAATTACAATCAATTACAATAGGGTTTCGGCACTGCGTGCTTGAACCCCTAAAAATCCTTACAATTACAATAGGGTTTCAGCACTGCGTGCTTGAACCCCTAATTACAAATAAAGTCTCTTGGCTAAGGCTGTAGCTGGTGGCAGCTAGTGAGGTGGTGTGTTGTGCTTCATTTGCGTTTTCTTAGCACTAGATACATCAAGCCGCTCAGCAGCGTCATGGGGAACGCGACCCAGGCCACAACAAAGGCGTACCCGTACTCTCCATTCTTACAGTTCTTGTCTTTGAAGTTTAAGTGCTCTGCTGTGTAGATGGATGCACCGGTCATCACACAGAAAGCTGTGGAAGGGGGGAAAAAGGGGCAATTTACAGTTGGAAATACAAGGTTGGTTGTATTTATTCTTCACAGGCAATTACATGACACATACAAATTAAACATTCAACAAACAATATAATAAATACAAACATTTTTATAAAATTCAACTTTTTGTATACAAAAAAAAATTCTTTAAAGGAATAGTTCACCCAAAAATACAAATCTGAGGCCATCCAAGATGTAGATGAGTTTGTTTCCTCATTGGAACAGGTTTGGAGAAATTTACAGTTTTAACACTGCTTGCTCACCAATGGATCCTCTGCAGTGAATGGGTGCCGTCAGAACGAGAGTCCAAACAGCGGATTAAAACATCACAAGTAATCCACATGACTCCTGTGCATCAGTTAACATCATGTGAAGTGAAAAGCTGCGTGTTTGTGAGAAACAAAATAATTTAACCTTAATCCATTTTAACACTTCCTCAAGTGAAAAAGTCCATTCCCAACATTCACTTAACAAGACATTAATTGATGGACTGGAGTCGTGTGGATTACTTATGGATGATTGTTGGATTATTGTGATGTTTTTATCAGCTGTTTGGACTCTCATTCTGACGGCACCCATTCACTGCAGAGGATCCATTGGTGAGCAAGTGATGCAATGCTAACTTTCTCCAAATTGGTTCTGAACTTGTATTTGTCATAAAAATGGTAAACGTTTTCCTGTGTCCATCTTAAAAAAGAAGTCCTTCAAAGCTGGGACAATTTACAGACTAGAAAGATGTCATGAACATGACAGTACAAATACTTCAAGGTGATTCAGGACCCCTCTTGGCCTGAGATTTTGTGTAATGAATGGCTGATTGTACATTTTCTTTGCATAGTGCATAGACAGTAACTAAGAAATCGCAATTGTACTGCTAACAATGATTTGAAATATATGCTGTGGGCATGAACTCACCAGACAAGAGCTGGATGATGGCTGTAAAGACAAATCTCTCGCCCTGCTTCAGACGGAAGAGCTGAAGGATGAAGACAAAGAAACCCACACAGCACAAGATAGTAGCCAGTATCATGGTGGCCTGGACAGTCTGAAGATAGGCTAATAAAGAGGAAGAGAACATGACACAAGGTTTATTTGTGAAAATGTTGTGCAGAAATGGCTGGATATTATATATATATAAAATTAAGGTTTTGGAGTGGCCAAATCAAAGTCCGGACTTAAATCCGATTGAGATGCTTAAACAGTCCATTCATGCTCGAAAACCCTCCTATGTGGCTGAATTAAAACAATTCTGCAAAGAAGAGTGGGCCAAAATTCCTCCACAGCGATGTGAAAGACTCATTGCCAGTTATCGCAAACACTTGATTGCAGTTGTTGCTGCAAAGCGTGGCACAACCAGTTATTAGATTTAGGGGGCAATTACTTTTTCACGTAGGGCCAGGCAGGTTTGGACAGCTTTTTTCCCTTAATAAAAGAAATCATCATTTAAAAACTGCATTTTGCATTTACTTGCATTATCTTTGTGTAATATTAAAATTTGTTTGATGATCTGAATCTTTTAAGTGTGACAAATATGCAAAAAATTTAAAAAACAGGAAGGGGGCAAAAACCTTTTCACACCACTGTATATATATGTGTGTGTGGTTGTACATACACATATATGTAGTTGTTTTTTTGGTGTTTGGCTTAGTGTTATGTTAGAATCATTATTATACTCTTATACCTTTTGTTCTTTAATATTTTGTATTGTTTTTAGCTTTATTTTTTGTTTTTCATTTAAATGTTAAGTTTTAAAATGTTGTTGTATGCATTTGTCATTTTTATTTAATCTCTTTATTTTTAAAATGTGTATAGGTAGTATTTATAAAGTTTTAGCTTTTAGTTTTGGATCTGTTTTTAGTTGTTTTAATACTACAATTGATTGCTTCTGTTGTCCTCATTTGTAAGTCGCTTTGGATAAAATCGTCTAATAAATGACTAAATAAATAAATAAAATAAATAAATATACGGTGAAGTCCTAAATTCACTGTCAGAAAACACTTCTATTTTGCATTTTCCTGTATTGAACACATCCAAATCCAGCCTTGGTCTTTAGCCCCAGTTATACTCATTTACATTGCAAACAAGAGGCAATAAGTGTTGCCTTCTGACTAGGTTTAATCAATAAACAACTTTAAACAATACCATTAACACAAGCATTCATACTGTACAACATTTTGCTCAGACCAAAGTAAACAGTGGTTATATTTGATTAAGATTTTATGATAACCAAGGCTCAAGGCTTACCTGCATCAGAGGTTGCACTGTTCGGTATATCATAACAGTTTGTGGAGTTGCAGTGATACCAGAGATCTAAGGTGTAATCCTCCCAAACCCACCATACCTTGAAAAGATGGAGAATATATTTTGACAGAATATAAACTCAGAGAAAAAAAAAGAAATGTCCCTTTTCAGGGTACTGTATTTTAAAGATCATTTTGTAAAATCCAAATAAGCTTTGCCGATTTCTATTAGAAAGTTTTTAAACAATGTTTTTCATGCTTGTACAATGAACCATAAACAATTATTGCACATGCACAGTAAAACAGGGAGACAGGAAGGACAGCTGACCATCCTTGCATTGACAG